TTACCCAACTGAGCCACCTAGGCGTCCCAATATTCTGTATTTTTTTTTAAAGATTTTATTTATTTATTCATGAGAGACAGAGAAAGAGAGAGAAGCAGAGGGAGAAGCAGGCTCCCAAGGAGCAGGGAGCCCAATGCGGGACTCGATCCCAGGACCCTGGGATCATGACCTGAGCCGAAGGCAGATGCTTAACCATCTGAGCCACCCAGGCACCCCCAATATTCTGTATTGAAACTGTATGTGGACAAATTCTTTGGAATAGACTGCCACTGAACAAATAATGCATGCTCACCAAGTTTTTTACTTTTCTTTTCCTTTTTTTAAAACTAAGTATCTAAGGATATGACTCTTGGATATAATTGTAGAGAACTACCTCCCTAGAGTGGCGCCTGGCTGTCTCAGTCGGTAAAGCATGTGACTCTTGATCTCGAGGTCATAAATTTGAACCCCACGTTTGGTGTAGAGATTACGGTTTTTTTTTTAAGATTTTATTTATTTATTTGATAGAGAGAGAGAGACACAGCGAGAGAGGGAACACAAGCTGGGGGAGTGGGAGAGGGAGAAGCAGGCTTCCCGCCGAGCAGGGACCCCGATGTGGGGCTCGATCCCAGGACCCTGGGATCATGACCTGAGCCGAAGGCAGACGCTCAATGACTGAGCCACCCAGGCGCCCCAAATTATAAGTAAATTATGTTTCTTGAGTATTCTTTACTGCTATATAGAATAATAGAAACTAGAAATATGAGCAACTTTCCTGGTTAACTCTTTGGATATCTCAATGTAGTGCAGTTTGTCTTGCTAATATTTGCGTTATTATTGGCATTAATCACTTGTAATGGGGCTGCTGCTCCTTCATTAGAAGGTGAGATACTCATCACGGTTTTTCCATTTGAATCATTGATCAACTGGACATGGTCATTCTTTGTAGACCTTCTAAAATGTTACCTTGTTCCTTGTAATAGGCTCGACTGTTTGCCTTTTTACAAATAGAAAGTTAAACTTCGTATTTTAAAAATAATTGTAGGGGCGCCTGGGTGGCTCAGCCGTTAAGCATCTGCCTTCGGCTCAGGTCATGATCCCGGGGTCCTGGGATCGAGCCCCGCATCGGGCTCCCTGCTTGGCGGGAAGCCTGCTTCTCCCTCTCCCACTCCCCCTGCTTGTGTTCCCTCTCTTGCTGTGTCTCTCTTTGTCAAAAAAATAAAATCTTTAAAAAAAAATAAAAATAAAAATAAAATTAAAAAATAAAAATAATTGTAAAAGAATAATAATTGTAAAATTCAAATGTTTCTCCAAGCACGTAGTTAAATTGTTCTGACATATCACTTGTCCTATGTGAGGCCTGTTGTTCTTTTTATACAATTAGAAGACTTATTCCTGGTGGCTTACAACTTTCTAGTATCCTGAGGTCCCCAAACCAAAATTTACTTTTATACTATTAGGCATTGCAGTTTACTCATTCAGTGGAACCCATTATTCATCCTTTGTTTTGAAAACTTGCTAGTACTTTGGCATGCCTATTACTAAATCTCAATCAGTGTGTAAAATAGGTATTGTGCCCCGAAAATAAAGTTCAGGACACTTAAGTGGTTAGGATTATACAAAGTAGTAAAAATGTGGAAATTGAACCCATGTCTTCTAACTGCAAGTCTAGTCTTGGTCCTATTTGAATAATATCATAATTACTCAACATCACTTGCTCTTAGAACAACTGACATTATACTGTATTTTGAACAACTTAAAAAAATGATTTAGGGGCGCCTGGGTGGCTCAGTTGGTTGGGCGACTGCCTTCGGCTCGGGTCATGGTCCTGGAGTCCCGGGGTCGAGTCCCGCATCGGGCTCCCTGCTCAGCATTGAGTCTGCTTCTCCCTCGGACCCTCCCCCCTCTCATGCTCTCTCTCTCTATCTCATTCTCTCTCTCAAATAAATGAATGGGATCTTTAAAAAAAAAAAAAAAAAAAAAATGATTTAAAACTTACAGTGAAGTTACAAGAAATGGTACAAAGAATTCCCATATCCTCTTCAGGCACATTTACCTGTTGTCAACATTATTGCTATATTTGCTCTACCTTTTTCCCTTTCTCTCCATATAGACAAATATACACATACCCACACCCATATACATATTTTTTTCTTCTGAACTATTTCAGGGTAAGTTGTAGACATTATGCTCTTTTACCTCTAAATACTTGAATATTGTCTAAGAAGTTCTTTTCTTTTTAAAAATAGGCTGTTAGATTGATGTGGGTAAAACTCTTAATTGACTTCCTCATATATCTTTAGTAGATGGTACAGTAGAAGGATTATGTTGTTTGGTGCTAGACCTACAACTTAAGTGAAATATTTTGTCATCAGTATTTCTTTGGATCATTTGTTACTGCCTCTCTTGTCCTTGTTCTTTCTGGCTCTCACCTCTAGTTTCTGACACACCTAGAGCAAGTGTGAGAGCTTATTGCCTTACCCTACATAATACTGCCATTCAGAGCCTGAGAATCTTTTTTTCTGTGACTGCTTTTTTTTCTCTTTGCTCCTGAACTCAGGGGTGTGTATCATAGGGCAGGCTGAGTTTCAGTAAGCTCCTAATGTGGATACTGAAAACCCCACCTGTCTGCCAAGTCCTTTTGGCTGTGAGCAAAGTGGCGGCTTGGTACTTGTCATTCCTTTGCAGCAGTTGAGCTGAAGGAATGCTGCATGGCTTGTTGAAGTTGCTTAGTAGCTCCGAGTGGGGTGTGTATGAGGGTGTGTATAGAGAGTTGAGGGTCTTTTAATCTGTGTGGGAGATACAGGATCCTTCCTGGTGCTATGCTAATCATCAGGGAGTATTTATTGAGTTCCTCCTTATGACCAGCACTATGATAGGAGCTTTTGGAGTAGTTTAATAAAATACATAATTAAGTCACAGATTTATAATAGTTAAAAAATTCTAGTTCTGCCACTTACTAGTTTATTTGGGCAAGTTAATGTCTTTAAGTTTCACTCTACTGTTCTATAAAATGGAACTATTAACACCTCATAATAGGGCTATTGTAAAGAATAAATTAAGAATGTAAGTATAGTGTTAGTACTTGTCTGATACTAGTTAGTATTTCATTTCATACAGTCATTCGGGATATATGACTGATACCATATAAAACAAATAGAGAGTAATAAAAACAAATAGAGGATAATATGACACTACAGTGTATAGTCAAATACTTTAATTGTGACACGTAGATTATAAATAGCCTGGGAATTTAGGGAAGGGAAAGAACAGTCTTGTGCAACCATTTAATGTTCCTGTGCCTCAGTTTTTCCACTGGATATACTGGGTAGTGCTAGGTGATCTCTTAGAGAATGATTAAGATGCTTTAGCATTTTTGCTTTTTTAGGTGGTTCATATGATGATAGGAAGTAAGGAAGGGAGAAGCTTGGGGAGCTGTTGGAAACCAAATTTAACACTTAACATTCTTAATTTTTTCCTTATATGGACATGGCCCTTATAGGAAAGCTTAAAGCTGGAGATAGAAGTATTTCCTTCCAGTGAAGGTGTTTGCTTTGGTATTTCTCCCCTGTTGCCTCACTGGCATTTTAATTAGTTGAAAACTAATGTTGGTCAGTGGATGCCCTCTGATTGTGAGTGCCTCAAATTTAATCTGAGGATTAAGTTATTTGTAACCCAAATTATCTCTTTGATCCTCTGGCAAAAATAAAACATACATACGAACAGGGCAGGAGAAGATTTAGTTCTCTTGGACATGATGTTAAGGACATATGGCTTACTTGCCTTGAGTGTTTCTCTAAGATGGGACATCTTTCCTCAGAACAGAGTCCAGACTGATAACTTGGCCTTCCCACCTTTAAACAGGCTTTCATAGCCATGAACATGTAAAATACCTTTAAAAATTTATTTATTCACAACATCTAACAGACTGTTCCAATTCTTAATTTGGTGTATATTTACTTGGTAATATTTTTTTAGTCTGATTTTGGAAGGTTTGTATTTGGTTTTTGTTTTTGTCCCGATCAACTTTGTTCTAGAAAATTTCAGAGAAGTTTCCTATGAAAGTAAATCTGCTTACACCTTTTTTTTTTCCTCTTTGGCTTGAGTGTTTCGCCTTTTTGTTGTTATTGAGGTTTTTTGGGTTTTTTTGTTGTTGTTGTTTTGTGGGGTTTTTTTTGGGGGGGTCATTGTTTGCCAAGGTTTCAAGTTTATAGTGAGAGGTGAGGCAACGTTGATCTTGGCAGAACAGCACAAAGCCAGTAGAGTCATTAAGTGACGCAAGCTTTTAGTTTTTTTTTTTTTTCTTTTTGTTAAAGCTCTTTGGCAGAGCTGGCTATTCTAGTCACAGAGGAAAAGAAGAGAGGAGACTTTCTGAAATTCTGGATAGAATGATAGAAGATGTTTGGGGCATATTAAAAAAAGAGCAGCAGCAGTAAGAACAAAAACCCCATGTAATTAAAACAAATTTCTTATCTCTGTGGATTCTGTATCAGTTGCTTAGAACTTGAGTTTTTGCTTCAGATGATGATGGGACAAGAAAGAGAAGGAGAGGAGGGTTGCATTGGATTCTTGCTTATCTGTCTGCCTCTCCTTCCAGTTGGAAAAAATCTTCAGTCTACAAGAAGAGTCATCAACAAGTCTAAGGAATACATCCTACCGTAATCCTGGATTCTGTTGGAGTTGAGGACTACAGCCACTTCACCAGTATTTTATGGAGGCAATTCAAGAAAAATAGAAGAACAGAATACCTAAGGATTTCTCTGTGTTAGTACTGTGCCATGTTAAATTTTGGGTATTGTTTGGAGCAAGTCGGGGACTGCTCTGTCATGATGATCTAAGAAAATACCTGAGTTCCTTGAGCTACATAGATGATGTTTGGAAGGTTGTAAACTCAAAGTATTTCAACATAAATTCATTGAATTCTGGATTCTCTTTTACAAGTCAGGACTTCAGCAGACAGAAACTCTCTCCCAAAAAGATACAAAGTCTTTTCTGAGTTTTCAAGCTAAATGTGAACAATAATGTCTTGGAAAAGAAACTATTTTTCAGGGGGCCGTGGTAGTGTCCAAGGGATGTTTGCACCTCGAAGCTCAACCTCCATAGCCCCCAGCAAAGGCCTCAGCAATGAGCCAGGACAAAACAGCTGCTTCCTCAACAGTGCCCTGCAGGTAAGGGCAATTTCTTACTTTCTGGTGAACTTTGACTTTTAGTTACTGATGCTGTGTTTCCAATAACTCGTTTAAATGTAATCCTTGATGGTCTCTGTTTGAGGTCAGCAGCCTGAGATTATTTTTAAGTTTATCTGTGTGATCTTAGCAAGTCACTTATCTCTCTGAGTCTCAATTACCTCATTTATAGGAAAAAGGGATTAATAATGATAATAGAAATAATAACTGTGCCTGAAGGGGAAAGTACATGGACTAGATGATCTTAATACTTGTTTATTGACTTTCTTTTTGCTTCCTTTTTTTCCTTTTGAGAGCATAATGTATCAACCAACTTTCTTTTCTCTAGTTAAGAAAACAAAGTTCTTTCCACAAGTCAAAGACTTTCAGGTATATTACTCTCATCTTCATTAGAAGGCTCTTAGCATTCAGGCTCTTAGCATATACACTGAATGGAGTCCAGTCTTTGTCCATTTCTTCATCTCCTTCCTCTGAGCTCTCCTGTAGTGGTTCATGATTGGTGTCTGGTCAGATATGCTTGAACAAAGGTAGTGGAAAGTAATTCCCCTGAGGTGTGATTATCTACTCTACATTTTCCCTTTTGGTGTTGGTTGCCACATTGGTGATCTCAGAATCCCAAACTTCTTGTCTGCCTGCCTGCTCTGCCTTGTCATGCCCATAGAATGTTAAGTTCATCCCCTTTGGCCTAACTTTCAAGTAATTACTTTCCCCTCTTTTCTGCTCCTCAGAGTAAAAGTAAATGAAATTTGCCACCCAAGATAATTATGCTTGGGTGAAATATTAGTGTTATTGTTTCAGATGTAATGAGAAAAGAAGTTGCTATGAGAGAAGAAAAGACAAGACAATGTATTTGGTATAAAAAGCACTGGACACTCTCTCTAAAATAAGTAAATAAATCTTAAAAAAAAAAAAAGGGCACCTGGGTGGCTCAGTCGTTGAGCGTCTGCCTTCGGCTCAGGTCATGATCCCAGGGTCCTGGGATCGAGTCCCACATCGGGCTCCCTCTTCGGCGGGAAGCCTGCTTCTCCCTCTCTCACTCCCCCTGCTTGTGTTCCTGCTCTCGCTGTTTCTCTCTCTGTCAAATAAATAAATAAAATCTTTAAAAAAAAAAAAAAGGTGCCTGGGTGGCTCAGTTAGTTGAGCAACTGACTCTTGGTTTCAGCTCAGGTTGAGATCTCAGGGTCATGAGATCAAACCCTGAGTCAGGCTCTGTGCTTAGTGTGGCGTCAGCTTGGGACCTTCTTTACTTCTCCCTCTGCCCCTCCCTCTCTGCTCTCACTCATTCTCTCTCTCTAAAATAAATAAATAAATCTTTTTTTTTTTTTTTTTTTAAGCACTGGACCTATGAATTAATTTTAGTGCATCTATAGACTTGCCTTGTGACCTTATGCGGGTAATAGTATTTCAGGATCCTCATTTATAATACAAGAATCTTACCAAGCTTATTTATGTAATAGTTTCATAATCGGGTTGCCTGACTGGCTCAGTCAGTGGAGCGTCTGATTCTTGGTCTCAGGGTTGTGAGTTCAGGCCCCACATTGGGTGTACAGATTACTTAAAAAAAATTTTATACTCTCAGTTTTCGAATTTTTATTTGAAAACATTAAAAAAACTCCTATGCTGTTAAGCCTAGGGAAAGAGTTTAACTATATTCCCTCATTACTACCACAAATTCATGCATTTGGGTGGGGTTTGTTAGGTTTTTTCCCCCAGATGCTGCATGTGAATTTTTTGAGTGACACTGCATAAACTAATAATACTTCTGTAATTTAGAAGCAGAAAAAAAAAAAAGTGTTGACATAGGTGTGTGTGTGTGTGTGTGTGTTTACCTCCTTCCTGGCCACAGTCCTGTTTTTATAATTCTGTTTTTTCCTGTATGTTCTATCTGTATTGAAACAATAATATTTATGACTCTGTTCTAGTTTCCAGTGCCATATGGAACACATACTACACACACACACACACACACGCACTTCTAAATCCATACTTAAAGATTGAGTCATTGATGGTTTTGGAATGTCTATTGTAATCATGTTACAAGTTGAAAATAATTGTTTCTATGAGCTAATATTCTAACTTTTGATATGAATGCTATGTTGGCCACAGAAGTATTGAAACCATTATGTTTATTATAAAAAGGTGTTACTTATTTGGGAGTATAGTGTATTTCAAAGAACTTTTGGAATATATACTTTGAAGACACATAAGTAAGAAGCTCCAGAAGTACAGTGCCTTTTCATATATGATGCCATTTAAATGTTTTCTAGCAAGAGGAGCTTCCTAAGGCATTATGCTATATATTATACCATTTCTTTTTTAACTCAAAGTCCATAGTGTATTCAGATTTCCTCAGTTTTTGCCTAATATCTTTTTCTGTTCCAGGATCCCATCCAGGATACCACAGTTACATTTACTTGTCATGTCTCCTTAGGCTTTTCTTGGCTCTGACAGTTTCTCAAAATTACCTTGTTTTTGATGATCTTAACAATTTTGAGGAGTAGTACTAGTCAAGTATTTTGTGGGATGTCCCACTATTGGAATTTGTTTGATATTTTTCTCATAATTAGACTGGTGTTATGGGTTTTTGAGAGGAAGACCATAAAAATAAAGTGTCCTCATCACATCATATCTAGGTTACATACTATGAACATGATTTATCACTGTTGATATCACCATTTTTTTATTCTGTTGACATAAAGAAGGTCACAGATCTCTCAGAAAGGTCCAAAAATTGAGAAATCTAACAAAGACAAAATTCCACACTACAATTCAAGCTTTTTTTTTTAAAAGAATTCTGCGGTTTTGTTTTTTTATAAGATTTTATTTATTTATTTGACAGAGAGAGAGTGAGAGAGGGAACACAAGCAGGGGGAACTGGGGAGGGAGAAGCAGGCTCCACGCTGAGCAGGGAGCCTGATGTGGGGCTCAATCCCAGGATGCTGGGATCATGACCTGAGCTGAAGACAGACACTTAATGACTGAGCCACCCAGGCGTACCTACAATTTAAACTTCTAAATAAGTTTTCAGTACCATATGATCTCACTTATATGTGGAATGTAAAAAGCAAAACAAATGATAAACAAAAAGCAGAATCAGACCTATAAATATGGAGAAAAACTGATGGATGTGAGAGGGGAGGGAGATGGGGGAGGGGAAACTGGTGAAGGGGAGTGGGAGATATAGGCTTCCACTTATGGAATGAATAAGTCATGGGGAGGGGCACTTGGCTGGCTCAGTTGGTAGAGCATGTGACTCTTGATCTCAGGGTCGTGAGTTCAAGCCCTAGGGTGGGTGTGGAGATTGCTTAAAAGAGTAATAAAACCTTAAAAAAAAGTCATGGGAAGAAAAGGCACAGCATAGGGAATATAGGCAGTAGTATTGTAATAGTGATGAATGTGACAGATGGCAGCTACGCTTGTGTTGGTAAGTACAGCATAACATAGAGACTTGTGGAATCCCTATGTTATATACCTGAAACTAATGTAACACGTATCAACTATACTTCAAAAAAAAAAGTTTGTTCCAAAAAAAAAAATATTTTTTTGTGTGGATCATTAAAATAAACCCTAATTCTGCAGCTTTTAACCCATAAGTTAACCCTTCGGGATCACATTTGTTGTATGTTATACCTTATTTTCTCTGTGTAACCTTCCTTCATTTTCAAGTTAATGTATTTTTTAGAATATAGTTATCTGTCCCTCATGTTAGCTAACTCACCCTTTTTGACATTAGTTTTAATATACTAGAATGAGCTTTTTCTTGGGAATGAAGATATATTCTGTAGTCATTACCCATTTTTGCTTGAATTCTTGAATCTAAGATCACATGGAGGCTTTTTATAGAGTAATGAAGTATTTCCCCCGTTTTTTGCCAGGTTTTATGGCACTTGGACATCTTCCGACGTAGCTTTAGGCAGCTTACAACTCACAAGTGCATGGGCGATTCCTGCATCTTTTGTGCTCTCAAGGTAAGTTCTTCAAATCTGTCTCCTCACTACCATTATTAGCCTGCCAAATGATCAATATTGAGGTAGTTTGGCTACTCAGGGTGATACTAAAGAATTTCTTAATTATCTGCCTGTGGCTTAGTGCAGAAGATGAATATGATTAGTTTTGCTTGCATCAAAGAATTGTTACTTGGCTTAGGTAGTCCGTTTTTCTGAACTTTTTTGCCCGTACAGCTCTATTTAATGTGATAGGATATTATTCAAATGTGCTTAGATTTTGGGTATTTACCTGAAGAGCTAATTCTAAATTTTTATTTTGAAAGAATAAACAACCAAGTATTTTTATTGGAATTAACTATTGTCTGTTAAAGCTAAATTTAACAACAAACTCTTCCTATTGAGAAAAGTCAGTACTAACATTTTTCCATTACCACATTTAATAGATTCATTATACCCACTTTTTTTATAAAGATTATTTATATATTTATTTATATCACAGAGAGAGAGAGAGAGAGAGAGAGTGAGAGCAGGAACACAAGCAAGGGGGAGTGGGAGAGGGAGAAGCAGACTTCCTGCGGAGCGGGGAGCCCGAGACAGGGCTTGATCCCAGGACCCTGGGATCACGACCTGAGCCAAAGGCAGACGCCCAACAACTAAGCCACCTAGGTGCCCCCATTATATCCATTCTTGACCCCATTGTCTGACTCCCAAATTTTTCATTTCTGAATAAAATGAAACCTGAGGATTCATTTAGAGTTTGCTGCAATAGAGGAAGAAGAACTAGGTTGTATAAAAGGCCCCATTCTCCATTCTGTATCTGCTTGTCCAACATGGAGCTTCTCTGTGTTTTCTTGGTTTGTATGTACAATAGATTATTTATCACTGGATGAGTCTGCATGAGTTCTGATAAGCATCCAGTGTCATTTTTCAGTCCCAAGAAGTCTGAGTTCTTGGTTTGTGACAGGGATGCTTAGATGTGGTCATCATATGTTTAATTTAGTTGTTTTTACATCTTGGAGTAAGAACTGTAACAAAAAATCCAGGAGAATTTCCCAGTTATTTTGGCTATTTGCAACAACTGATTTGAAACAGTTTTTTGAGCACCATCACTTCAGAGTTTTAAGTCCATGATGGGCAGATATCTTTAGAAAGAGATGACTGAGTCTTCTGAACATTTTATCACTTAGGTCACAGACATCTTTTTTCTTTCCCCCTTAGACGCATTGAAACTTTTAGCAAAATATATGTTATTGATTAATTGGGAGTTTGAATATGAATTTTAATGAAACCAAATCTTTTACAAGTTGTAACATTTCTGACTATGCCAACTCAGACAGAAGTCCATCCACAAGAGTATTTGGCTTGATTTTCTGAAGGGCAGATTAACATTAAGTATCTAATTTTAGGTAAACCAGAAATATAGTGGTCCTCTGACCAGAAATCCAAGGGAAGTCTGGTTCATGGCATTAAAACAAAAAACCGAAGTAAGATACTTGCTAGAGAAATTTGAATCCTGGAGAAATCCCTGGTAGAGGAATCTCCTGAAACTGGAAACTCTCATCTGTACCAGGAAGGGATGATAGAACTTCTATGACCCCCTCACATGGCTTTGACTAGTCAGGACTATGCCATTCTCTTCATTGACCCAGGTGGGACTCTGATGAACTGGCTGTATCAGCCTTATTATGTTTTAATTTCCAGAAGTACAAATTATTATTGTGATATAAATTAGTATCATTATAGAAACCAAATAGATGAAGAAAACCAACCACGAGACTTAATGGGACACCTTCTGAGATGCCCAAGTACAGAAAGGAAGATGTTTTTCAACTTATGAGGGCTGAGATTGTACCTTGGGACTCTTTCAGAGAAGCAGTTGCTTATGGCAGATAGATAAATCGGCTTGGGGAATCAAAGGCTGTATTTTGGATCTTCATAATTCTGAGAAGTTCTAGTACTTTCCTTATCACATCATTGTCTGAGCTATCAATTAGGTTTATTTTCCTTCACTGCTTCTTTTGTTATATTGGGAGTATATTAAAAATTTGTTTTTCCCTAAAGTGCTTTTCAGTCCCTCAGTGCTATATAAGTGTGAAATAATTAAGCTCTAGCTTGCATTCTTTTAATTACTGTATACCTCATTTGAAAATTATAAATAGATTTACATTGCAAATGGATTAATTTGACTGTATGATGAGCAGAACGTAGTTCTAATAGTCGAGAAATTTAAATTGTTAGAATGGCCATATTCCTTCATTCAGGAGGACTTTATTTTCTGAGAGAAGAGAAGGGATATTGAGTGTTTGGAAGAGTAAATCTGGGATGGACCATCAGCACCTGGAATATCTCTTTTTTGTTCCCTACTTTAATTTTTTTTTTTAAAGATTTTATTTATTTATTTGAGAGAGAATGAGAGATAGAGAGCACGAGAGGGAAGAGGGTCAGAGGGAGAAGCAGACTCCCTGCCAAGCAGGGAGTTCGATGTGGGACTCGATCCCGGGACTCCAGGATCGTGACCTGAGCCGAAGGCAGTCGCCTAACCAACTGAGCCACCCAGGCGCCCCCTACTTTAATTTTTTTTTTTTAGAGAGAGAGCAAAGGGGGGGCGCGGGGCAGAGGGAGAGGGAGGGAGAGAATCTTAAGCAGGCTCCCATGCCCAGCAGGAAGCCTGACGTAAGGCTTGATCTCACAACCCTGAGATCATGACCTGAGCCAAAATCAAGGGTTGGATGCTTAACCAACTGAGCCACCCAGGTGCCCCTAAAAATATTTTTATAGAATATGAAATAATATGATTCATCATTGAGCTAGATTCTAGTCCAGTATAATAAGACAAAAGGACAGATAAAGATTAGAAAGAAAGAAGCAAAGTTATTATTTGCAGATGATATGATTGGCTATTAAAAAAAAATCTCAAAGTATCTACTGAATTATCAGTAGAATCAATAAGAGGATTTAGCAGGTTATTGCCTGTAAGATCAAGGTATAACATTCAATTGTATTTCTATATACTAGCAACTAATAGAAAATGCAAGTTAAAAAGAATTTTTATAACAGCAACAAAGTATATAAAGTAGATATGAATAAATCTAACAAAAAAGATATGACAATTATATAAAATCCCCACAGAGATCCAGTATAATGAATAATTACAAAGTGAACATCCTTGTAACAAGTCTTTAGGTGAAAATAGAATACTGCCAGTACCATAAACATTCACCCTCCTTTCTTTCTCAGTCATATCTCCTTCTTTCTCCCAGAAGTAGCCACTTTTCTAATGTTTGTGGTAATCACTTCTTTGTTTTATCTGATAGTTTTACTACCTATGTATCCATTCTTAATCTAATTTAAAAATTACCTGTTTTTAAAAGATTTACTTCATTTAAATGGAATCATTTTTAAAAGATTTACTTATTTATTTTAGAGAGAGAGAGGGAGTGCAACAGCGCAGAGGGGAGGAACAAAGGGGAGGGGCAAAGGGAGAGAGAGTCTTAAGCAGACTCTGCACTGAACACAGAGCCCGACTCAGGGCTCCATCTCACGACTCTGAGATCACGACTTGAGCTGAAACCAAGAGTCAGTCACTTAACTGACTGTGCCACTCAGGTGCCCTGTAAATGGAATCATTTTATATGTGTGTGTGTGTGTGTGTATGTGTGTGTGTCTTCTTTAGTGCAGCAATATGTTTATAAGATCATATTGTTATGTGCAGGTTGACTTTGTTCATCTTCTTTATTATATGGTATTTCATTGTGTAAATAAACCAGTTTATTTTATTGCTGGTAGTCATTTGGATTATTTCCAGTTTTTAATTTTTTTTTTTATAAATTTTTTTTAAGATTTTATTTATTTGAGAGAGACAATGAGAGAGAGAGACAGCATGAGAGGGGGTTGGGTCAGAGGGAGAAGCAGACTCCCTGCTGAGCAGGGAACCTGATGCGGGACTCGATCCCAGGACTCCAGGATCATGACCTGAGCCGAAGGCAGTCGCTTAACCAACTGAGCCACCCAGGCGCCCTCCAGTTTTTAATTTTTTATGAACAATATTGCCAAGAACATTCTTGTATATATCTATATATGTATACACATTTTTTTGCATATATGTCTAGGAATGGAATTACTGGATCATAGGATATGTATATTTACAATTTTTTTTTTATATTGCCAACTGCTTTCCAATATTTCCATATGTTTTCCAATGTGGTGATACTAATGTGTATTCTGACCAGCAGGTTTGTCCTGGAAGTTGAGTAAATTCAATTCTGAACTTCTTATGACAAATAGGGAAGGATAGACAGGACATTCTTTTTTTTTTTTTTAAAGAATTTATTTATTTATTTGACAGAGACACAGCGAGAGCAGGAACACAAGCAGGGGGAGTGGGAGAGGGAGAAGCAGGCTTGCCGTGGAGAAGGAGCCCGATGCGGGGCTCGATCCCAGGACCCTGGGATCATGACCTGAGACCTGAGCTGAAGGCAGACGCTTAACGACTGAGCCACCCAGGCACCCCTAGACAGGACATTCTTGAAGAATAATAACAAAATGAGAGACTTGCCTTGTGTATCAGTCAGAGTAGACTAAGTTATGCTTTGGTAACAAGCTAAAATCTCGGTGATAAATACACAAAAGATTTATTTTGCATTCCCATTACTTGTCCACTGCAGGTTAGTAGGAGAACCCTACTGATTGTAGTCACTCAGGAACTCAGGTGCCAAAGCTACAACCAAGTTGACTATTACTAGTGGCCAAGTCAGAGCAGACATTTGAATGTTCAACAGGTCACTTCTGCTCAGAGCTCACTGACCAGAACTAAAATCATATGGCTCCAGTGAATCCCAAGAGGGCCCGGAAGTATGATCCTATCAAAATCCTTGGGAGAGGGATGAACCAGAAATACTTAGCAAAAGTACTAATGACTACCATATTTTATCAGATATAAAACTACATCAATTATAAAACTATAGTAATTAAGACAATGTGGTATCAACACAGTGTGACTAATAAATCGATGGATCAAAGTT